CATCACCGGTGGCCGAAAAAAACCTAACCTGGGGCTTTGATACCAACTAGAAATATAAAAGATGAAATTATATTGATTATAATAGGTTAAAACATACAAAGCAACTATTTCTCTATATATAGAGAGAGCGGAACCACATAAAACTTATATCTAAGCTATGTGGGACTAAACCACATAATAAAAGCCTACAATACCCTTTACTTCCTACAATATGTAATAACATTCTACCAGAATTTATTCAACAAAAATGAAAGACAGAAGAAACTATTTTACATTGTAAACAAACATAATTCTCAACAAACTGTCTTCTACCAAACAATCTCAACTCATTGTTGTTTTAATAATAGAAAACCACTTTCCACTACTAGCAATTTAGTTGGATTATTTCCTTCTAGATTTACGCGATATAAATTCTTAGTTCAGCTCTGTTGGATATTGGAAAGAATAACACTGGACATTTCCAAAATCAAGAAGGACTCTTCATCGTACAAAACTAAACCTTGGTGAGAACCGCAATCCTTGTCCATGTTGAAAATGTTGATGGCAGTACTGATCAACTACGAGATGCTTTGAAGTCAATTATAGGTTTGGGGGAATTAGAGATGTAGACGTTACTTTGACACAGATCAGCTGTAGGAAAAAACAAAGCTGACCTGCAACACTGAACGACACAATTTAGCACGAGCATTGGGGCTTCTTTCTTCATGGTAATTTTTTCAGAAAAGCCCGGGGTGCAACATGCATACATTTTACAAGAAAACCTTACGAAGAGGAAAGAAAAGGAAGACCTACTTGTATAAAGGAAACGTTGAAAAACAAATAGTTTCTCCTTCAGTTATATTTTCCTTTTTTTTTTCCTTTGCACTTCTAGTTTAGTTTCTGATCTCTATATTGGACTAAATAAGTTCACTTTCTAATTAACCAACTAAATTTCTATAATACACTGGCAGCATATGTTGGTGAAAAAAAAAATCAACTCTTGCATAATTATATACTTTTCGTACAAGAAATCTGTAACACTAATACAAAGGAACTCTACGACAAAATGAATACCACCTTGTCAAACACTAACTAATATATCATTATAACCAATAAATAAGTGAAAGTTAGTTCACAGGAGCCCTTGTGTTGTTTAATAACATTAAGGTTATGTTCAAAAAACCAAGTTTCAGTAGTCATCCCCAAATTCAGTTTTAGTAGAGTAATCCTTCTTAGGGAATTTCAATTTATTTTCACAATTTGATCTATACCATATCTTTAATAACACTTCTTATTAGGGGTAAAACCTTCACATTATTGCCACAAATATTCCTCCAAGATAACAGGGAGATGAATAAGGTATTAAGTAATAACAGATCCTCAGTGGGCATTGACTAAACAGACCAAATAAAACTTTCATATTAAGTTATAATTTCTGGATTAAGTCGCAAGGGAATGATAATCTTTAAAATAACAAACTGTGCAGTCAGCTGCTAACTCTTCTTTTCAACTGATTAGTAACTGTGATAAAAAAAAAAAAAGTTATATAAGGCATCTTTTACCAGCTACCATATTTTTTAAGTATTATGAGCAATATGACAGACTTTTAGACATGTAAACAAACTCCCATCCCATTAATTTACAAAGGCTACACAGACATTTTACATTTTTAAGAAACATGAAACAGTTAACAGTCTCCCATCAATTAACATAATAGCTCAATTCATAAAATTCCAAAACCTGTATTTCAAATTTCATAAACTCAATAGAAAAATCCACAAATTCAAACGGATAAAACAGCACAAACCTCTTATAGTACATCAAACATTTGACCCACTCTACCAAAACAACTTAACAACATAAGTCTCTCCTAACTTAATGTAAGTTAGAAGTGGCACATGTAAGAGCATATTGTGCTAAAACGAGCAGAAGGAGAAGAAGAAAAGTGCTATTTATACATACCAGCAGTGACGAAACGCCTGTTGTACTGCATCCTCTTGTGAGCTCTACCTCTGGGCTTCTTCTTCTTGTCTTGTTTTGCAACCTTTGGAGTTTGCCCTCTCACTTTCCCAGCACGAGCCAACGATCCATGAACCTTACCTACACATCATTCTTAATCCAATCAATTCAACAAAGAAAGAAAGAAACTCGAATAGCACACAAATTGATTGAAGAGAGAGAGAAACGCTACCCATTGGAGATAGTTGTTAGGTCGCGGTGAGATTCTCTGTTTCTTCTTAACTGAGCTTCGACTCGAGCAACCAAACAACGACGAGGGAAGCAGAAGTGAAGGTTTTCTAGGGTTAGGTTTTCTTTGAGATTTATATTTCAATGGATAAAACAGAATACATTCTGATGTACTGAAAAATATAATCTACTCGAGTTTATGACCGTCGATTTAAATGAGTAACACGTGTAAGACTGTAAAAGCATCATTATGTCCGTTCATTTAAGTGAGAAGCAATGAAATGATGGGCTTTTAATAATACTCAATTTTTCAATAATCGGGCCCAAAACTGACTTAGTTTACTTAAACCGTGTCATTAGCCAGGCCCAACTACAGCAACCAAAACAAACGGGATCAGGAGTTGTTGTAACTTGTGAATATAGGAGGAGCAGTGTTCGAAACGAAATCGGTGTTGTGCTCGTCATTACATCAACGGCTAAGATCTCTTCGCGATCACTCAGCAATCAATATAAATCGCTCAAAATCGGAAATTTAGTGTTAGAGAAACGACGAATCGGAGTTGAAAATCGTCTCATCTAGGGTTTAAGGTAATCGAATTTTCCCCAATCTGTTTACGTTTTGGATCAATTTCTTATGTTAGCTTTGCTTGAATTAATTAGATCTGTAAATAATTATTTTTAGATTTGAAATTCTTATTATGTTTTCATCTATCGTTGTGTTGATTTGATTTGATTATTTATTCTTATACGACGAACAAATAGATGTAATGCTTTTCGTGTTCAATGTTAATCTTAGTTCTATTGATCTCTGTTTGTTTCGTTGATATTGTATTAATCTGTGACTCTGTGTTGTTGTGATGTTTATGGTTCTTGATTCGATTTACTGAATGAATTGATGAATATGATTTTGAAGGATGGATAGAAAAAATAAAAAAAAATGTGATGTTTATTGTGAGTGATGAATCAAGATAGTTTTTGATAGTATACATACAGCAAAAGATAATTCTTAATGTAATTTTAATGAGATATGGAAGGAAAAAGTATGAGAGAATGCACGATCATGAATTGAGTATTTGACTACCCTCTTGATTCTTATCCTTAAGAAAATTATTGAGTTATGGTCGAGTCTATGGTGTTGTTGTTTTCGTGTTTTGGGAGAGCACTTATTTTAGGGAGCTAAGCATATGCCTTTTGTTAAGGAGCTATCCTTGGCAGCAGTAGCACAAGTCTACCCTCACAAAGTAGCACAATTTTTATGGACACTGTAAACAAGATTATTTTTATTTTATTCAAATGGTGTGATTGAGGGAATTAAACCTAACATTGACACAGGTTTGTGTGTCTGTGTCCGACATGGATACGGAGTGTTCCACACGGGGATACCATTTTTGGCCGTGGAGATCTGTTTTGATGGCTCATGTTACATAGAAATAAACTAAACCTCTTCAATTTAGGTTTTAAATGTTCTACTTTTTTTACACAATGCTCACTTCTTGATTTCCTGTCTTTTACTGGAGAAGGATTTCATTGATGTTGTACGTACTAATTTCATTTGTAATGAAGCATTGAGTTATTTGACTGAGTCACTTGCTTTGTAATTCCTTATCTTTTGCTGGGTAATGATTTTATTAATGTTTAATGTCAAAAAAAATTCTGATCTTTTGGTATTCTTTGTTTGTACGATATTGTCGAACAGAAATGGTTGCAAATGCTGTTGGTCCTCCTAGGGGAAGTGCAGGGGCAGCTGCCAACTTGCGCAGGCGGAGGACGGCTAGTGCTGGGGCTTCGGCTGGTTTAAGTGGCAATATGCTTCAGTTCTATACAGATGCTGCCCCAGGCCTCAAGATTTCTCCCAATGTTGTGCTTGTCATGAGTATTGGATTCATAGCTGCTGTTGCTGTTCTACATGTGGTGGGTAAGCTCTACTTGGTATAAAGAGAGGCAGAGAGGTCTTGATGGAAGAGTTTATGGAATATGAACATTGTATTAGTTTGAAGTTCCAATAGGACAATTAGTATCCTAGATGGATGGAGTTTTCTGATAGTTGGAATCTTATGTTCACTTGCTTGTCAACTTTGATATTTGGAATCTTATACTCAGTTAAATGACTATACCGACAGTTTCGTATGTGTTCACTTTTGCGACCTTAAGATGTGTGATTATAGATTGGTGCAATACAAATGTCAAGGTGTTGAGGTCATTTAAGTTTGAACTGTTTCAGACGTATTTGACATGTTTATATCCATCTAATTCTGTTGTAAGAAAGGATTACGAGGATTCTTAAAAGAAAGATTCACGAGCTCTTTAAGTTTGGTGAGCTCTTTAAGTTTGGCTGGATAATGAGAAACCTTGCGTAATTTTCCCGCAATGGAAAAGATAAAATAATACTTACCTTAGCAGAGAAATGATGATGATCTTCATCTTCTTCTCCTGCTTTAAAGCTGTAATCTTGACACCCAACAAAATTGATCTAATATGTCCACATATGTTGTTACTTTGAGTTTTTATTGGTTGGTAAAGAATTTCTCCTGCACTATTTGCTGTCTGGGGAGACTCCTTTTCAGAATAAAAAACAACTTTCTATATTTTATTTATTAGCTAAATGCCTAATGGCTGATT